TTGTCCTCAAAAGCTCCGTCATTTATAGTCAATAGTGTTAAGTCATGTACTCTTCTACCAGATGCCAGTAGCAATAGGATGGAAGTGTGTCTAGACACGGCAAATATACTATTTTTATTAACTTCATAAGTGCGTAAATAATTAATCAAATCTTCTATTTCCCAGGTAATTGGCTTCTTAGTAGACGGATTAGCGGCGAATATGCCTCTTAGAACTCTTTTTATTAGCGGATGAGATGAGAGTTCTTCCGAGCGAAGAGGGTTTGAAAAATTTACAACCACAGACCTGTTAAGTGCTATCGATTTTGGAGCTAGTTGTATAGTCTCGTAAAGATGGCACAGGTACTTCGCCACTGAGTGTGCCTCTGGATTATCCACCAAAACTTTATTTTTGTGAGCCCAGTTACACCATCTTGACCATGCCTGCCGGTAGGTCTTAAGTGTCGACTCTCTCCATGATGATTCCAGAAGCTTTACCTCTGCGCTACTCCAACCTTCTATAAGCTTTTCCCAGCCCGAACCTTCCAAACCGCCAACTTTAAGTTGTCTACACCCGGTGGAGGCCGATTTGTCTGCAGGTCGATCAAATTCTCTGTTAGGTTTGGTATGTGAAAAGGCTTGTCCACTACTATTCGTCGAAGAGCAGGAATCCAGAAAGCTTTGTCCCATACTGGCGCCACAAGTAGATAACAGCCCTTTGATTAAGCCGCAGTTGCATTCACACGTGATATAATAGCTAGTGTCGGCAAGCTGTGGGAATGCCCAGGAGATGGCGTTTGTTCAGCTATCGAAATCATTACACCGACGGGGTGGGCAGCTCTGCTGGAACATATTTACCACAGCAGTGGTTGCGGCGTTTTGTTCTGCAACAATAGCCTGCAATGATGACATGTCATATAATGTCGACGAACAAAGATATAAAATTTAAAATGACTAACCTTATTCCCAGCCGATTTGGGAGACCACCCTTGGTCACGACCAGAACGCATTTACCAAGAGGAAAAACCGCAGGGATTGCAGTAGTTCTTGCAATCACCGTTGATGATGCTGTGCTTGTAATTAATAGTCTGAAAATACAAAAATATGCATTAATGAAATCTTATACACATCAAATAAATAAATTTCAATAATTTGTTTACCATTTCACAAACCGAATTACCAAGAAATCGAAACTCACCGCGATGCGATACAGAACTAAAAACCAACAGCGCTGCATTTTCTTGGTAAACAACACAAGCGCTCAGAGCAAACTAATCCGCAAAATTATTTTGTGAAAAATAATAGTTGAAAAGAGTTTTTACACATGATTATCACATTAAGTCATAAGTGCAAATTATTGTGATTATTTTTAGTTGCATATAAATGTATTACCTTAGACTTTTTTTAAATGTTTTCTAATATTCATTCTTTTGGGCCGCAAAAGCAACCATGCGCTCAATTTCTTGTGGGGAAATTTGGTCCCCATAAAGGACTTTCACCACGAAACAGCTCCAAAAACAAAAACCTTTTCTACTGGTATACTGTGTTTATTATTTTACATTATTTGGATAAAGAAATTTACGCAAATTCGATATCGATGTGATGCTGATAGAAATCTGGTCCAATTTGTGAACAACTCTGTTTGTTTTGTTTCCTAATTAAATGAGGAAATTTTAATTGACAGGACCGACAAATAAATATATACACAAACAAATGTTCGGTTATGGTTAAAACAATTCAAGTTTTTGTATTGAATTTTTGGTTTAAAATTTGTTTTTTTCCTTTTCAGTAGGGTTCTTTGCACATTATCTTCTGCGTGAGAATTTATCGGAATAGATACGGATCTGAATAAGCGAATGGAACACGGCTGTTTGTCAAAAGCATACGATTTCGAACTCGCGTAAATGTACATTTGCTAAATGCGATAGCATGAACGCTTTTTGAAATTTTATGTCCGAAAGTGCTAAATGTTGCATTTTAAATGCAGCAAAAGCGCTGCATAAGAGTGTGTTAGTGAAAGTGTGAAAGTATTGAAAATTTAAAGGGGAAAATTGATTGTGTAATGGCCCGGTAAGCGTGAAGTTAAAGAAGTTGGCTCAAGAAAAAAATCTTGGGAACAAATGCACAATACCACCAAATCTCGAATTAAAAAAAAAAAAAAA